CCCCAAAACCCCAAAACCCCAAAACCCCAAAACCCCGCATGTTACAACTACTTTGATTATAAAAATTCATAAAAATAAATTAGGACAAATGACTGAATAAAAGAAACTGGAAAATTACAGACCATAAATGGCTACTTCAATCAGCCTACTCTAGGGTTAACAAGCAGCCCAACATTTGAAGTCTTTTAGCATTAATAAGGAATTTGCATCATTTAAGAACTCAAGAGCAAATCTTTACTCGGAGGACAAGACGCATAATAAGTCTCATGACTTTAACTATCATAGTAATTTCAATGATTATGCAGCATCAGTGTATAACAGAGAAAATAAGAATTCCTCTGCTGCTTAGGAAGCTGTTATCAATCATAATGAAAGCTTAAAGAATTATATTAGCAGAATGTACAATCCAGGAGCTAATGCAATATAAACATACCAAGCTGAGAGTAACAAAGCAGCAAGTAATAATCTAAATTAATCGAATTAAAAAAGCAATAGCTAATCTAGATACCAAACGAATTAGAAGATAAGAAAATTGGTTTAGATGAAAGAATATGTTGGTGAAATTTAGCAGAACAGTCCTAAGTCACAGCAATTTAATGGTAAAATCTTCCAAATTATCGAATTTGACTCTATTTTAAACAATGGCTACAAATATAACAGGCCATCAACGAATCAAGTTACTAGTTTTAATTCTAACACTAACTCTATTAACAAAAGAATGCTAAAGACGGGCTTTTCATAAGATAGAGGATCAACAGCTTATAACATGCAGAATTTGCTATTTAGTGGATAGAGCCAGACAAACAGACAAGCAAAGAGAACTGCACCTTTCGGTACAAGTGACAATAAGAATAGGTTTAACAATAGCCTAAATAACAAGATATAAAGTTAGCAAACTTTAGAATATGCTGATAACTAAAGTACAGTTTTTAATAGTCCTATGAAATCTCAATAAACAATTAGGCAAGTAGAACTGAAATCCTCAGATATGATTCTTGATTTGAATATACAAGAAATTAAGGATAATTTAGAGAAAATCCCAGGTTCTATTCATCATTTAAAGTCGCTTGATCAAGAATTAGAAATATAGTAATTCGCCATGTTTTTGGGGTTCTCTAATTACGAACTTCAATTCAATTAATAGGAAAATGAAATTAATTCTCCTAAGCTATCAGAACACAAGAAAAGTGATCATACCTTCTCAGTAAAGAATAATAACTTTGTGTATCCAAATAAGAGTTCATTATTTAGCCAGAGGAATATATTTGATGTTCCGTAGATGAAAATATCTGCACCGAAATATCTATGTTCTTTATTCTAAGATATCAACGAACTATTCAATAAGGTTTTAAGGGAAGATAAATCTAATAAAGGGATGCATTTTATAACAGAACTTCCTTCATTTGACAAAGGAGAGAAAGACAATAAGATTGCATCAGACGCTGAGTTTGATTTGGTAGATTCTTCATTCATTGAAATTCAACAAAAGTACAGAAGATTGGTGAGCTACATAAGCAATTAAACTGGCTTTATAAATGGATTAGCTTTAGATGTTTTATGGAAGACTTAATTTTTGAAGTTTGAGTAAATGCTCTAAAAGTAAGAGGAAAAGCATCAAGCAAAATTAGATGAACTATCAAGTAAAATTCTCTTGAATGATATGGAGAAGGGCTCATATATGGGATTGATTGATAAATAAAGGAAAGAGATACAACTTGGATTCGAAGATTAAATAAAAACAATGGCATTAACAATCAGAGATTTAAGAGAGTAAAAGTACTTTTTAGAAGGGAACTTAGAGGAAATTAGGACAGAGATGGAATAGTTGACTAAATTTGAAAAGAGAAAAAATGCATTGAGTGAGGTTGAAGAAACCTATGAAAATATTGCTGGATTTCTAGGAAAGGTACAGAATGAATAAAAAAGAACAGTACTTGCTCTGAGGAAATTGGAAGTTCTAATGGGGGCTGAAAGAGGAACAGTAAGTATTTCATGAATCAATGCAGATTTATAAAATTTCATAGCTTACCAAGAAGAGTGCTGACATTCAAACAGAAAAATCTTACTTGAGGGGAATTAAAATTGGCAATAGAAATATAAACAAAACATCTCCTAATACTTTAGCGATGCTTGTCAATGTAAATATATAACTTATAATCATTCAATTTAGTTGAATAATGAAAAAGGAGATGTAAAAGTCATGTCTGAGTAAGATGCAGATAAACTTTGTGAAGAGCTATTTAGTCTATTCCATGACCTTGAAAATGACTAGGTTACATTTGAAGATTAGATAGTTAAGTATATGATAAACAAGCATAAGTCATTTAAGACATCCATTGATATCTTAAGCTAATTCATGGAGGTAAAATTCTTTTTTTTAAATTTAATTTAATCCAGGCTATTCATGTCTATACGGATTGTAATGTAAATCCAAAACTTGCTCTGTTTAAGCATCTTTTAAGATTCACCGATGACAATAAATTGATAATCGATGATAACATGAAAGATATAAATTCTAAAGGTCTGGTTTACAATGTTCTTAAACAGAGAGAATACTTTCTTAATCTGGTAAAGAAAGTTCAAGAAGAGTTTAAGAGCTCAAGTCCAGAGAGAAGAACTTAGCCTAGAAGAGGAGCAAGTAAGATGATTTAGTAAGATGAGCAGAATTTCAAATCAATGCAAGTCATTATGTAAACATTCAGCATATTCTACTAGGATGTAAGTAGATTAATCTAGGATAACAAATAATTTAGAATACTACAATAGTCTAAGATGCATTGTCAGGATTTGTTAAGAATTATCATTTTATGAGCAAGCTTTTAATAAAGAATCAAATACTAGGGTTTAAGCATTGCGTTGGAACTAAAGATATGGATCATATTCTCCATACATTAGACGCTGATGAAAAGGAAAAGAAAGAAATAATGGATAATCTAGACAACGAAATGCTTGACCAAATAAACTTTAGTTTGATTGCCATAGCTGCTCTGAATAAAAAGGCAGAAATTACTCTTGAATTTTAAAATCATGATGCTCATAAGAATGGCTATGGTAAGCTTAATATCTTGAAAATTTAATCATTTATCATCTTTAGTCTCAAGTGATGTGTTTAACAAAACTATTTAAAATTTTGGAATGGCTGGGGAATTTCAACAGAAGATACTTAGAGATTTCTACGATCCAACTTAAATTGATCAAGTTAACTATAAAATTTTCCTGGAACATATCTCTTCTAAGGACATTATGAATGCTGCCTGTCAAGTCTACCTAAGAGTGGACTTGATTCCGCTAGCGATGTTTGAGGCTTACGAGATGATGGAAAGTAGAAGATTTACAAAGCTCAGTGAAAATTACACTTAGCATTTCGCAAAGAAAACAATCGAAAAGGACCGAAATTTGCAAGACTTATAATCTTAATTGATTGATTTCAATTTTGATGATTTCTCTTCATTCCTTGATAAGACTATACCAGACTTGGATATTGATTTCAAATTCGAGTTGTTCTTGCCAGTTTGTACAACACCTTTCAGTGAGTTTGGAAGTCCATCTATTGGAGATTCATTCAGAAGCTTTTTGAGTACTGCTGTAGACATATTCGATGTTTCTCAATACAATGATGGCATCATGTATAACAATAAATTAATTGGAGAAAATGAAATAGTTAGACCAGTGCAAGATGCAAATGGACCAGAAACTTTGAATTTGTTTGCTCTGAGAAATGGATTAGTCGAAGTAAAAGACAAAAATAATAAAAGATCATTTGCCAAAAAGGGCAAGAAACCTGCTGCAGTTAAAGCTAAGACTATAAAAGGGAATCAGTGAAACTTAAATGCAACTTAATATTAATCTTGCCTCAAATTAATTTTCATTAATTATTTCCTTAATTAAAATTGCTGACGCTAAAATGCTCATCGGGGTTTTGGGGTTTTGGGGTTTTGGGGTTTTGGGG